TGGAGTGTAGCTGACTTTGTCAATGATGTCTCAGTTTAAGTCTGTAACTATTATTTAGTAAAAGTCATTTTTATTAATATGATATCTTACTCTTTATTTTGTTAAATTATTTTCCTCTTTATTTTAAAACTAATTTTGTTTCTAGGGACTTGAATGAGGTAGGAATGATCTTACTCACATTCCTGTCTTGCTTCCTTTCATTTTCCCTCTGGTGCTGACATAGAGAGAATGTTTGTTTGTTTGTTATTAGAACAACATTTTCCCATATAAAATATTCTCCAGCATTCTGAAGGGGAATGAAAATGATGAAGAACAGAGCTGGAGCTGATCCATAATGGACGCGCAATGTGAATAAGAAACAAATCTTTGTTAGTTTCAAACCACTGAGATTTTATGTGTGTCCACAATATAATCTGCTATCCTTACTAATACGATAAGTAAAGAATCTAAAGTAAAGAACTTGGACAGTGCCTGACTCAACATTAATGTCACATTAATTGTTAACTACAGACATCCCTTGGTATACCAGGGGATTGGTTCCAGGACCTCCACGTATACCAAAAATCTGCCCAGCAGAACTCATGTATATGCAAAGTTGGTCCCTCATTTAGGCAGGTTTCATATTCTGTGAAAAACCCACAAATAAGTGGACCTGCACAGGTCACACCTGTGTTGTTCAAGGGTCAACTGTATTATTATTTGATGAGGATGAGGATAAGGATGATATAGGGGAGTTCTATGTGTAAGAAAGGAGGATTGTGGTGGCTAAGGGTGGTGAGGTGCGTCAAAGGGAATGTGAGTCACATGAAGGGTAATTTGGAAGGAAATAATGCTCTTGTAAGGAAAAAAGAAAGACTTGTGTATTTGAGTATAACACATGGTTTTATTTAGTAGTTTTGCCTTTTCTTTAGTGTGATGAAAACAGATCAAAAATTCAGAGGGACAAAAAGGGAAGAAGCCATTGGGATCAACATACTTTATTGATTTAAATGCTTGAGGAAATTAGCTCTGTATCAGGTGGCATGCTGGTAAATGCTTCACAACAAGCTCCAGAGTGGAGGCCACTGATTTCTTGCATTTGCCAATGCCATATTCAGGCCTGTGGCATGAATATGCCCACAATGGCCAATGTTAAGCTAACAAAATAACAGGACTGAACAGAGAGTTGGGAAGAGATGCACACAATTGACTCTCAGGAGCCCAGTGTGATCTGGTCCCATCACACCACTGTACTGTGTTTCACTGGCAGGTCAGAATTATATGTAATCATGCTTTTGAGCAAGATCTGATCAACTCTGGAGAAAATAATCCCACCTAAAACTAACCCTGATCAGCATAGGAGGTTTGAGAAAGCAGAGAGCTTTGAGTAATATTTTACTCTACTAAACACCAGCAATATGGAAGTCAGGCAAAACAGCATTAATACACTGAGGAAAATCTCAAACAACCTTCAGATATAATGAAAGGAAAATACCTAAAAGGGGAAGAGGGAGGGGGAGAAACAAGGATTGTTGTCTGAAAAGAAACTATTTTGATCTCAGACAAACCAGATTATTTTGAAAAAGCCAGTCAGCTGCTATTTTTGAAAATATATTTCCCCACAAATCCTGTCTTTCTAAATTGAGCAGTGAGTCAGCAGTAGGTAGTGCTACATATGAGAAAA